TGACTTCCCCTCACCCTATTTCTATACTAAAGGACAACTGTGTTCCCAATGGAATACCCAACATTCAGATACGAAATCAAAGACTCATAGAGACATTCAGAGACTTTTGTATATCCAGATACACTTTGGTGATGCACAGGCAGTATTTGTCTATGATACATATAAAAATACAGAGAATAGCACTATCCAAAATCCTTATACAGACTTCTTCTATAGGTACATTCTGTGTAAACCAAACTCTACAAAACATTGTAATTCTTTTCATTTCACCCAGTGGCTTAAAAATACAAACACACACAGTTTCCCTTACTTAATTCTCAGTGATTCCCCCTAATGAGATCTGGGCATGACAGTTTATATTAACTTCTGGGCCCTATTTTGACTAATTTCTTTATAAGTGATACCGCATGACCAGTTTTTGTTTATTAACCTCACAGGGATGTGTGACGAATGTCACAATTGATAACACCTAGTTACTGCTGAAGAAACAAAGCTATGAGCAGGGTCAGGAAAGACTGGCTTGCTCACTGCCTCTTTTTCACCTGCCCTAGATATTAAAGAAATGCTACAGCCTCCAGGATGATCATTCAAAAATGCTCTTCTAAAATTCTGTCTCTTTTTTTCCCATGTATATAAATGGGGGAAAAAATTAAATGTAACATATAAAGCAAATATGTGTAATAAATGAATATATGCACTTTTTTGACAAAAATGTTGACTGAATTATGAGAAACACACAGGTGACATAATCATCTCCTAAATAATTATAACAAGAGGTAAAATGTATGGAAAATGAGATTTGGAGTGCAAGAAATCTATCAAGATAAACCAGGATTTTATGCTAAAATTAGGACCAACTTCTGTTTTCTATAGCACTTACTGATATCCAAGCTCATGCCATTTCCAAAGGTTTTTCTCTTTAGGACAAATTTCCTTTCAACCTCAGTTTATGGCAATTTTCAGGAAACATTAATAGTGTAATATTTAGGTTAGAAAATGCTTTCCCAGATATTGGTGATCCATTTGATTCTCTCAAAAATCCAGTAAGATATAGAAAGCACCATTACGATCCCTATTTTCAACTTAAGAAAACTGAAGCACAATTACCAATTGTTCAGCAGGAGTGTCAAACTCATTTTCACGGGTGGGGGGGGAGCACATCAGCCTCCCAGTTGCCTTCAAAGAGCTGAATGTTATTTTAGGACTGTACAAATGTACCTACTCCCTAACTAGGGGCAAGGAGCTCGACATTGCTGCTGGGTAGAAACAAGGTGCTGGGCTCGATAAAACAAGGTGGAGGGCTGGATTGGCCTGTGGGCCTTGTGTTTTCTGCCTGTGGTTTAAGGGGAAGGACTTCAGCTGTAGACTCTTCTCACTACAAATTCTGAGCCCTCTGAACCATGACAAATCTACATAAAATGCTTATAATATCCATGTAGATGAACACTCTCTACCCCGCTTTCTATATGTATGGATATATATTCGATGCTCAAATCTACATTTACAAAGGCAATATATTTTAGGAATGATCATCTGCCGTATCCATGCCTTTATTTAGCTACCTTTTCACTGAATATCCTCTGCTTAAGCAGCCATTGTCCCCTGGCCTCTGTGCCTGTGTTGTTCTTTACTGGGACTTTGAACACCTACCCCATCTGCCAAGCTCCCTTGATTGAACTGCTGGAGCTTTCCATGTGCATTGGGATTTCTTCTATGACACAGGGCTTATCTCCTTTGTCATTTTCTTCTTTGAGCTCCACTATCAAAAAAGTTATCTGTGCCTTCCCTGTAACCTCCTTAATGTGGGATGATGAAAGAGAAGGTGAGAACAGACATCAACAGAGGGAAGAAGCTGAATCCACCAGGACTCTTTCCTTCACTTTTGTCATGAGGACCACAGCTATTTTTCAAGGAAATTCTTGGGGTAGAATATTATAAATTTGAATTAATAACATGAACATTATCCCCTTTATGGTATTGGCTATAAAGTTAGCTATACTCTTCAATATTCATAAACTTTTAAATACTTGCCTGATATAGTTCATCTCAGCTCACATCCTTACTGAAAATTCTTACAGAGTAGGACAAAAATCTTGCCATTTTAATCTCTGCTAGGTCTTTATTTGTTAACCCCACTTATCTGATACCTATAAAATACATTAAAAAATGTATTGCCCAAACAAGAGAAAATATCTCATTTTTAATCAATTAGTCTTATGCTGTGTTAGCATATTTGCTTAGGATGGAGTGGAGTGAAAATTCAGCAAGAAGAGGGAGGAATTCAGCTTCATCTCACTGTGGAAAGTAAGGCAGAAAGAAGATGTTCCATATGCGATACCAACTTTCTGCCTGGTCTCCCTCCTTCTCTGCCTTTTCTTCCTTTTAGTCCTAAGGGTCTCTTCTCAAGCTGTGTTTTAGAACATCCCATTTCCAAAGATAGTGATGGATGGAGAAGAGAGAAAATGAAAATTGTTGGATTGTATTTCCCTCTGGACAAATTTTCACATAATTTAACTCAAGCTTTGTATATGACTCTTTGGGAAGAGACTTAGGCTTGTGGTCTCAAGAGTCATCTTGATAATGGAGGCTATAAGAAAAATGCTTGTCCATCTCCCATATGGCATAGAGTGCAGCTACAAGATGAAACCTTGCATTAGTGCAGGAGGCCACCTCCAGGGAGGTGGGGTCAGGCAGCCGTGCAGAGGTGCCACATTGCTTAACCTAGTGCCTCTTGTTTTGAAGGATCAAGCACTTGTTTATAACTTTAATGAGCTAAGTCACCAACTGCTGAGATTTTACCATTTCTGATATGATTCAAGATAGCCAAAGATTATACTCAGAAATATTCTACCCATAGATTTTAGATACATCTAAATGTACATTGAATTCCAAAAGGTAGAGTGGTAAATGCGCTCTTCATATTTCATCAATGGGGACTGCATATTCCTGCTCTGGCAGCCCATTGCTTTCCCTTCGAGGGGTCATTTGCTATGTTGAGTTGCATCCCCAGTGTGATCTCTTAGCCGACTTTGCTAACTAAACTGCACAAGTGAGAACAGTCTATTTTCAGGTAACTCTATACTGTCTTTGTATAAAAAGCACCATATTGCACATTCTCAGTCAGTGCCATCAAAGCCAAAGGGAAATTTTGTGGGTGTTTTCAGTCTAGTGCACACACAGATACTAGCAGTTCTACTTCCACACCATTTAACACAATTCATAAAATCAGTTACAGTTACCCCTTTAATTAAGAGAGATTTAGTGAGGGTGAACTTGATAACTATAGTATGCATAGCACTTAGTTGCATTAGAGAGTTTTGGTATGCTCCCACCAAATTATAAGCCCTCTAATAAGATATTAAAATGAGATTATCTTTGAAAACATATTGATCTTGATCTATCAGAAAATGACATGCCTAATAATGAGATTTAAAAGGTTAATTCCGGGCATAACAGAATGGTATCTTGCCCAAACTGACAGCTTATGTATCTACTTGTGCACATCAGAAAAACAACTCATTTATTATATTTTTTCTGACATCCTTATTTATTTGCTCATATTCCATCATGTCAAATTTCTACATTTTGATATATTTGATCATTACCTCTCAGGAATTTGCATTGTGATACATACCATGATACATCTTCCCAAATCAAATGATGTCTATTAATGCTAAGTAGTATATTAAAAAACTTTATACGTTTAGTGCCAATGTGTCTTTTAAATTCTTATTACCTTCTGGAGAGTGTTATAGAAAATCATTTAAACTAAAAAAAAACCCCACAGATTTTAGCTATTCTAAATATGTGGGATTTCTATCATTGAAATTAACTGTTGATTGTCCAATAAAAAGACAAAAAGATCAACCGGGTCATTTAAAACTGAGACAGGTCTTCCTTTTTGTTTCTGCAACTGATAAACATCACACCTATATTTTAAAAATACAGACTTCTGTTCATTCTACAGTGGGGGGCAATTTGAAAGCTTACACAATTGGAAAATGGTTGTTATGTAATTTCTGTTGTTTCATCTATTATCTGTCTCAATGTCTGGTAATAATAAATACTTCTTTCTGGAAAATTTACTCCAAACTGCTTTTAAATCAGCAAAGTCACACTTTCTCTGAGTGTGGGTTTTGTTTGTTGCTTGTTTCTTTACAGGGAGAATCACCAAACCTATTCATAACTAGCTTTTACTGATCCTGATGCAAAAGCTATCTTTTGATCATTTATTTATGACTAAAAGCTGCTTTAAAAGACATAGTTGCAGAACTAGATATTTAAGTACTCTGATAGATCAGCAGGTAAGCAATATGAATTTATATTAAAAATTAATGCAAATGAGTAGTATCTAATATTTTAATCAATATACATCAGTTTACAAAATTGCTAATAAACTCTATATTTCTGCCACATGTAAAAAAAATCGTAATAATTCTACGAGAAATCTAATTTATTTCAGATGGTAGTCATTTTAATTACATGATTAGCACTTTGTTATCATAAGTAAGGACCCATTTTGTTTGTCAGGAATTTTCTTCCCCCCCCATCCCCATTATGGACAACACAAAACAACAAAACAATTGCACCTCTACTTCTAAAGCCTTTCCCAGACCTCCTTGTTTCCCATAAATTGGTATTTAAATACCAACTGATAACTCGGTGTGTATTCAGCCCCTCAAGGCTATTAACGAACTGATTTCTACCCTCCGCTGTTGTGTCTGCTAATGAGTGAACTTCTCACTAGTAAAACCTAACATTTACAAGATAAAAATAACATCCGTACGTTGGCACGTGATTTTGCACTACCTTCGGCTCTGCTAAGATGACATGCTAATCAGAGGCACTTAGAATCTTAAGTCAGTTTTGCAATCATTTTTCAGGTGCATTTTAAGGGTCTGTGAAGACCAGAGATCTATGTTGAATGACTTTATTTATTTATTTATTTATTTATTTATTTATTTAATAACTTGACCAAAGGATCCGAAAAGGTGACCTACCTTTATGTGTCAGGCGTAACCGGGGGTGAGTGGTATCAGCTGCGTGGCCTCCGGTCCAGAGCTCCAGTAAGTAACCCCACAGGAGCCAGGTGAGAACGTATCCCGCGGATGCCATACTGCCGCTCACGGCGCGAGCCCTCCGATCCTGAATTTCAGGCGGGTTTGAGTTTTACTTAGGACTCCCCTCCAGGGGCAGCGTGGGAGAGGCTTTGTGAGAAATCGAACGCGTTGTCATCAGAGAGCACAGTTCCAAAGTGCCATTTGTCAGGAGGTATTTAGATATGCAAAACCTTTCTTTCCCCCGACAGTTGTTTATAAGCCGGGAGCAAGAGGACATTCCAAGGAGTGGGTCTTCAGAGCCCTGTCCTGCACTCAGTGCGGCAAGTAGCCGGTAGGCTCAAGAAGAAACTGTATTTCTCAGTCACTTCTGCAAGCGGTTCATTCAGGAAAAAGCCCCGGAGCACACGCACTGCCTTCCTATCGCTCAGCTCTTCTCCTCTGGCTGCGTGAAGCCTCCCAAGCCAGCCTCCTGCACTGACTTGCCAAACAGCTACTTTTAATTCACCTTTCACCTTGCTAATTAAAAACAAGAAGTGCCATTCCCTCTAGGAGTTGCAGGATCCACCCTGCAGGGAGGAAGGGATGCGGTTCTGTCAGCGAGCAGTGTTTACAGGGAAAGTTCAGGCGGGGTTGAGCCGCGTACTTGCAGTTTCTAGGAAGTGTTCCCGGTGCACGTGCCCTGCTCCCCCGCCCCCGCCCGGGTCTAAGGCCGCGTCACTCAGCGGCAGGGGCAGAGTCAGCGCGGTTGTGCTGGGGAAGGGGCGATCAGGAGCCAGAGTGCTGTATGTCACAGGCAGATTATATAAGAATATATAACAAATAAGGATGTTGTGGCAGAGAGAGAGAGAGTTTAAATGCTTAGTCACCGAGAGTAACCCTTAAATAAATAGTAATTCATTTTAAACCATCAGTGTGGCACTATCTAGTACCCAAATCGATTTTTCAGCGTTTCCACTGAATTTTTTTCACATGTATGGTTCTGCATATTGATTATATCGTACAAATGTTATTTTTAACTCTTGAAGAGAAGTGTGTCTCAAGAGCCCGAAAAAAAATGCTATCTCTGTTTCATAGATGTGGTAGAACTGACAAATTATTTTGTTGAGGCAAATTCTTCAAATCAGTGAAAGCAGATCACAAGTTTTACCTCAAATTTAAGACTGATTAAATTTTCTAGTAATTTTCTCCTACATAAGATAACTAGGGTAAAGTTGAGATTTTTCTATCCAACAGACCCCAAGAAAACACATATTAGAGAACTCAAGATGTGAAATACTTTACGTTCAACTGCTATGCACTTTCCGAGTTTATTTTTCTAGACACTACTTTGTGTAAATAAGCTTAACACAATAGGTCAACTTTACAATCCACTTTCAATCAATCTTAAAAACTAAACCAAACACTCTGTAGCTGTTGGCATGGAAATGAACAGTATTATTTTAAGATATCAGTGAACGTGAATAGGTTTTTGGTAGTTGAGAGTTAAATGGTAAACAAATTTTGACTGTGATAAAACATTTTCTTATTCAATATTTTAAATGATAATGATTAAGGACACCTTTGAGAGATACATTTTTTTAAACCACACAATCGTTACAAAAAAGATAATACAGGTTACCCTGATATTTTGAATTATATACATATATAAGCAAATGTAGAGCTAGGCATTCTCTACCCATTTTCCTAGGCATGATATATTCTATTACAAGAAGAGTATATTTAGCAAAATGTAAATGTCACAGTATATTATAAATAATTAGATTTCCAAGGCCTAAAAAAGATAACAAATGCTAAACATTATTTAACAGTAAATTTACATGAAGTATTTAGAGACTTAACCTGGGGTGGTCTCCGTGGGCACTTACATATTTTAAAAACCAGTCTGATGAGCTACAGAGATAAAAGTTGTTGTAAATGGGATACATAGTACCTTGGAAATCCTCTCTCACTTTATTCCAGAATTGAAGTAACTAGAAAGTAAATAGCAGCTTTTATATGTATCATCTAATGGTAAGATTCTGGAAAAGTAAATATAACTTTTATTACAAATATATGGCTACTCTTGTACATCTAAAATTCTATCTAAGATGATGAAGTGCACGTCCTAAGTCAGTTATATAACAGACTGTGTAAGATGTATCCAATTTCATTAGGATATCAAATGCACACCAGTAAATATCAATGTGGGGATAATTGTTAGGAATGCCAGGTATGTACATACAAGGTACATACTGAGATTCATCTTTAGTTGTACATGTTCTCCTTCGTATTAGGAGAGTAAGATGTGTCACATGCCACAGTAATGTGTTTCTTCGGTTTTCTCAGAATGGGCTTTGGTTTATCCTCTGTCATCAATGCCATGGCATTGTCCCTTTAGCTCCTTTCTTTATCCTTCTACCTTTCTCTCTAGCTTACATTAAACATGCAGATGATGCCCAAAAAGTTACTATTTAAAAAAAAAAAACTAAACATCTACAACTACCCATGTGGCTTTAGTCACAGGCAATAGAATGAAGAGTCTCTGACACCAAATCTGTTGTTAGCATCATAAAATAAAACAAGAACCCTCAAAACAATCATATAACTTGTCATTTAAACAAGACATATGTGAGAGTAAAAGAGCCTTCTATTCGTAATTATGTGAAAACTAAGAATATTGTAAACAAATCAGGATATCAAAATCATCTTTCTTGGGAGAGATTTCTAGGTATCACTGGAAAACATGGAAATGGAAAAAACAAACTGACTTGCCACCAAGAGAGAGTGAAGAGCTTTAGTGAACAGAAGAGCTTTGGTATCAGCAACAATACTTGTTCATATTATGATATTTGATTTGAGAAGAGCTAGACTACCAATTTGAATACATTCAATAACATAAAAAATAAAAATAAAAAAACAGGTGAAATGGGAAATGGCAATTCTGAGGGTATTGCCTGGCAGGCCAAACATCTCATTCCAAAACCACTTATTGCTAGGGTCACAACACCGTATGGAGAGCAACTCAGTGTGGGAAGAGAAAGAAAGGGAGACTGAGTATTGCCTCAGGAGGTGCAGACTCTGCCATGGCGGCTTCTGCCACTAGTTCCCCAGTGGTAACAGCAACTGGCCTCCGCAGCAACCTGCCAGCCTGCGGTCCCAGCCTGCATGGTCTGCACCCTGTGGGGTACTTGTAAAAAGGGCAGGTTCCTGTGCCCCACCACATGGTCCCGGATTGCCAAGTTGTATGCGCCAAAGTTTCAATTTTACTGTGATTCCTTTAGGTCAGTGTTATTCAACTATTAAACATCTGTTCATCATGTTCATAATTTTTTATCATAATAGCATGGTATCTGCAATTAAAATTTAACTTAATTAAAATAAGCCATTTCCTCATTGGCTTGATGTCCTACTTCTATTTTTTCAAATAAACTTGAAAACAGCAAAAATTGTAAAAGGTTATCTCTGTATCACTTAAAGTCATCTCACATACTGTGGGAGACATTGCTAATGGCATCCAGAATATCCATTCATTTTTTCCTTCCTTCCAGAAAGATGGGAGAGAGAGATGACATAGACTGGTTATAGATATAGCTGTAGATGATATAGCTATAGATACAGAAGATGATAGAGATAGAGATGATAGAGACAGATAGAGATAGACATAGAGATAGATAGAGATATCTGGGAAACTACTTCCCAGCCCCTGGGCCATTTGACTAATTTTGACTCTGTTAACAAAAGCAAAAGTGATGTGCATCACATCTAGTCTGAGGCAGTAAAATACTTCTAATTCTTCTGTCTCTTTCAAGATTTTTCCTACAGTGAAGGAGGTAGCCCCATGTTGAATGCACACATTTTACCTACTATGCTTTAGGAAACATGCCCTTGGACACACACAAGCGTGAACCAGTCACTAATACTGTATTTCTCCCTATCACTAAAACTACTTCAGCAGAAGTGACTGCAACAGCCAGTAACAGATGTGAATGCTTGGGGGACAAGTAAAAGATAAAGTGATTCTCTATGTCATTTTTATAATGGCGTGGGATATACCCTTGGGGTTTCAAGTTGAACGGTGCACAAAAATGATGTTGTGAGCAGTATTAATAGGTGAAGATGCAGGTTATAGCACTACATCTCACTACCATTACAATTAACACCATTAATAAACCAAAGTTCCACAATAGCAATGATGATAAACTTTATCTACAGTGGCCAGGGCATTTGAGGTTTGCTAATCCTCCTTCTTCTCCTGCTAGCCCTGCAGCATCTCAAATGTCCCAGCATCAGCTGCTGTCACCGCTGGGGCCACCATCACTACTGCTGGGTTTTGCAGGCAAGACTGCTGACAGGTTTATGGGTCAGTCAGTTCAGATGCCTTATACCACAGAACCTGTGAGGGTTCCAGAAGTCTGCATTGACCATTTCCCACATTCACTGCTTCGGGAAAATGAAGTTAAATAGACAACTGAGTCCCTCCTGATTCGTGTAGGGTATGGCAATCCCGTCAATCAGTACCACCCAGGACGGAATCCAGTCGCCTGTCTGAAAGAGATAGGGCTGATGCCTTTGTGATGTCATCATTTAAATAACTAACTATTCAATAAATTTCCGTTAATTTTTTTCATTTTGACCATCTATTCATTAAATTTGAGCAAAAATTACACTGTATAAAATTTCAGGTTCTTTGTTTCTGACTTGCACTAGATTTATTCTCATTTTCTTTTTGATCCCCGACAATAAAGAATAGCAGAAAAGCGTTTTGAGCATTTTATGCCAAGTGTTGGCTTTAATTGATTTTGATCAAAGAGCAGTGATTGTTCTTGGGCTCTTTCTATGGAAAAATAAAATAGGTATGTGTGACATTGACACTGAAAATCCTTTCATTTGTCAATCCTGAGAGGTTTCTCTATAGTCTTCCTTATGGGTTATAGAAAATTCTTAAAAAGAGAGGGAACTCCAATCAGCAGCTTTAAAACAATGTAGCAGAGACCTTCATTACATACTGTTTTTCAGGTCTGTTGTAACACGTATTTCTGTGTTATTGGTGCCACCAATGGCGAGTTGTTTATAATACAGGGCCAATATTCTCAAAACTTAATACATCAAACCAATTCCATTTTAATGGAATAAAAGTAGCAATTACTGTTAATTTGTTACTTTCTGAATGCTAAGGCCATGAAAGTCACAATTATACAAAATTCATTTTAATTCAGACAACAACCCTATGCAATAGATACTATTTTTATTGCCACTTATGTATAAGAAGAATCTGGAACCCAGATGTGAGGTAACTTGAATGAGGTGAAATTCTGGTAACAAAACCACCAGCTTAAACCCAGACTCCAGGACCTGTGTTCCAACCATTACACTTCTCCACTCACAGAATATTGTTCAGATAAGATTCATGGGGCTGCTTCCAAATTCTACACTGATAGAAACTTATCTTTAATAAATTTTAATGATAAACTGTATGCAGTTTTAAAATAAAAACCTTTCAAGACAATCAAAAATCAGTCTTTGTAATTAAATTCACCAGATAAATTCTCCATCCCAAGTTGTGTCAGATGGTTGAGAATACTCTGTTCATCTATTTCAGGTTAAAGACTGTCAGCTGCACAAATTTTAGTATT